TTAACAAAGTATCAATTTCTCTGTCTGATCAGTCTTATTCCAGAAAAAGACATATTGTTACACATGGGTTGAGTTATACTGGTATAGTTTTGCTGATTAATTCCTTGTTGACCAATCTAATTGCTTCTAGGAATTTAAGCATTCATGTTATACTTTTCATTGCATGTAGCATGTCCAGTCAACAAGCTATTCACATAGAAGATTTTCTCTGTGTTCTGCCTCATCAGTCAGGTTGTCTGACATGTAACACTTCTAAAGCCTTTGTTACTAGTAATGCTCATTTTTAGGCAGTCCGAAGTTTCAGCTGCTCTTGAGATGCAGCTGCCATTGTCACAGGGTATTTCTCATAAATAAATGCTGAACCTCTGTGGGGGCTTTTTTATCCTCTTACAGGGCAAGAAGACACCGTGATGTTCCCGTAACAGGACTTACACTCTGACGTAACATAAACTAAAAATAGACTGAAAGTACTTAGTTCAAGGAAGAATTCCTTGAAGGTCAATTCAAGCTGACCCTTCCATAGCTATATACAACTGAAGATATAGCTTACAGTGTAAGTGATATTGCACCTTCAGTGACACCAAACTGAGGTGAAGGATCTACCTTGTGCCAGCGAGAGGGCTGAATGGTGTCCAGTACCACCACCCACCTTGTAAGTGCAGAAGTACCCCGTGGTGGGGATATTTTACTTTTATTCACAGAATCATCAAGCTTGGAAAAGACCTTGAAGACCATCTAGTCCAACCATTAACCTCACACTGACTGTTACCAACTCCACCAGATCCCTCAGCGCTGGGTCAACCCGACTCTTAAACCCCTCCAGGGATGGGGACTCCCCCCCTGCCCTGGGCAGCCCATTCCAACACCCATTTCTGCAAAGAAATACTTCCTAATAGCCAGTCTAACCCTGGTGCAGCTTGAGGCCATTCCTTCTTGTCCTATCGCTTGTTGCTTGGTTCAAGAGGCTCATCCCCAGCTCTCTGCACCCTCCTGTCAGGGAGCTGTAGAGAGCGATGAGGTCTCCCCTCAGCCTCCTCTTCTCCGGACTAAACCCCCCAGTTCCTTCAGCCGCTGCTCCATCTTGGCAATGCTGTATGTTGCAGTCTGTACACCGGACCGGGAGTACAAATTCTTAGCTACCGCCCGCTTGGTTTGCCCGGGAATTGGATGTCACGGCCCGAAAAGCTTAGCTCAGTTTTGGTTAAACAGTGAGGTTTTGACACAGGCACTGGAATTAGCGCTGCGACACGTGCCAGGCGCCTCCCCGCTGACAGTCCAGCCGCCTGCGCCCTGCACACCGAGGAAAGCGGGAGCGGCAGCCTTTCCGCAGGGACTATTTTACGGGACAGGCGAACGGCGGCGGCAGCCCCGGCCCTCAGCGCGGGAAAGCGCGGGGGCGGCGCCGGCGGGGAG